ATGAAACTGCAAAGCTTTTGTACAGCAAGGGAAACCATAAACAAAACCAAAAGACAATCCTCAGAATGGGAGAAAATATTTTCAAATGAAGCAATTGACAAAGGATTAATCTCCAAAATTTACAAGCAGCTCATGCAGCTCAATAACAAAAAAACAAACAACCGAATCCAAAAATGGGCAGAAGACCTAAATAGACATTTCTCCAAAGAAGATATACAGACTGCCAACAAACACATGAAAGAATGCTCAACAACATTAATCATTAGAGAAATGCAAATCAAAACTACAATGAGATATCATCTCACACCAGTCAGAATGGCCATCATCAAAAAATCTACAAACAAGAAATGCTGGAGAAGGTGTGGAGAAAAGGGAACACTCTTGCACTGCTGGTGGCAATGTGAATTAGTACAGCCACTATGGAGAACAGTACAGAGCTTCCTTACAAAACTAAAAATAGAACTACCATATGACCCAGCAATCCCACTACTGGGCATATACCCTGAGGAAACCAAAATTCAAAGAGTCATGTACCAAAATGTTCATTGCAGCTCTATTTACAATAGCCTGGAGATAGAAACAACCTAAGTGTCCATCGTTGGATGAATGGATAAAGAAGATGTGGCACATATATACAATGGAATATTACTCAGCCATAAAAAGAAACGAAATTGAGCTCTTTGTAATGAGGTGGATAGACCTAGAGTCTGTCATACAGAGTGAAGTGAGTCAGAAAGAGGACAAATACCGTATGCTAACACATATATATGGAATTTATGAAAAAAAAGTGTTATGAAGAACCTAGGGGTGAAACAGGAATAAAGACACAGACCTACTGGAGAACGGACTTGAGGATATGGGGAGCGGGAAGGCTGAGCTGTGATAGGGCGAGAGAGAGACATGGACATATATATACTAACAAACATAAGGTAGATAGCCAGTGGGAAGCAGCCGCATGGCACAGGGATACCGGCTCGGTGCTTTGTGACTGCCTGGAGGGGTAGGATAGGGAGGGTGGGAGGGAGGGAGACGAAGAGGGAAGAGATATGGGAACATATGTATATGTGTAACTGATTCACTTTTTTATAAAGCAGAAACTAACACATCATTGTAAAGCAATTATACCCCAATAAAGATGTTAAAAAAAAAAAAAGAAGATGTGGCACATATATACAATGGAATATTACTCAGCCATAAAAAGAAACGAAATTGAGCTCTTTGTAATGAGGTGGATAGACCTAGAGTCTGTCATACAGAGTGAAGTAAGTCAGAAAGAGAAAGACAAATACCGTATGCTAACACATATATATGGAATTTAAGGAAAAATAAATGTCATGAAGAACCTAGGGGTAAGACAGGAGTAAAGGCACAGACGTACTGGAGAACTGACTTGAAGACACGGGGAGGGGGAAGGGTAAGCTGTGACAAAGTGAGAGAGTGGCATGGACATATATACACTACCAAACGTAAAGTAGATAGCTAGTGGGAACAGCCCGCATAGTACAGGGAGATCAGCTCCGTGCTTTGTGACCGCCTGGAGGGGTGGGATAGGGAGGGTGGGAGGGCGGGAGAGGAAGAGGGAAGAGATATGGGAACATATGTATATGTATAAGTGATTCACTTTGTTATAAGGCAGAAACTAACACTCCATTGTAAAGCAATTATACTCCAATAAAGATGTAAAAACTAAAAATAAAAAAATAAGTACGGAATGGAAAAGTAAAGACAAGTGGTAAGATTATTAACTTAAAATACATTATTTAAATTTCTGTGCCAAAGGTAGACCAAAAATAACTTCCTAGCAGAAAAAAGAAAAATACGATCAGTTTCACACACAATTCATAGAACCCGTGAGTTAAAAACAAACTGTTCTGGAAAGGTGAAGCTGTTTCAGTTATTGAGGGTCCAAGTTATCTGTCCCATGGGCCCTCATAAGAAGACTCCATTTATCAAATTCATGATGGAAAGATGTTTAATTTTCCTCAGTATGCGTGTGAATACTCTAGTCTTACAGAATTAAAATGTATATATATTTATGAAGGGGAGAAAGGTGCACGAAATTAAAGATACTTGTATTTACGCAGCACGGATAGATCTCCACATGCAACATAAAGTGGAGAGTTGTTTTTAAAACTTTTATTTCAGGTAAAAATTGATATTTAATTAATGTTAGCACTATTCATTAACAATTCAAAATAAATAAATGGTATAGATACTAGAAAAGATTAAAAATACTCCTAGGGAATTCCCTGGTTGTCCAGTGGTTAGGACTCGGTGTTCTCACTACCGGGGCCTGGGTTCAATCCCTGGTCGGGGAACTAAGATCCCACAGCCACGTGGGACTTAGCTGCCAAAAAAAAAAAAAAAAAAAACTCCCAAAAAATTCTTTAAACAATTAAGAACTCGATATTTTAATTTTTTTAAATAGAAGGTAAAAGAAATGGTCACAAACTGATCATGGTTAGTGTTCTTTCCTGTACCAAGAAAAACAACTTGTCTACTTAACAGTAAGAGCAACTGAAAACAAACAACTTGGTAAATGTGATTTTATTTTGCCTTTTATCTATCTATATATCTATACATGTCTATACATGTCTATCTACACACAAACACACACACACACACACACATACACACTACTCACTCCAGGGAGCTGAGAGCCATAAATAATTTCAAACAAAAAAGAGTATTTGGAACAGAGGTAAAACAAAACAAAATTCTCGTTAGTCAAAAATCACTCCTGCTTATTACCTTTTATGCCAAGAAACTTACATTAAGGTCTTCCTATTAAAGGAATCCAAAGTCCACCCATTATAGAAAAACAAAAACAAACAAAAGCAGAAACAACTGTGCAATTTTTGTGTGTGTGTGTGTGGTACGTGGGCCTCTACTGCTGTGGCCTCTCCCGTTGCGGAGCACAGCCTCCGGACGCGCAGGCTCAGCGGCCATGGCTCACGGGCCCAGCCTTTCCACGGCATGTGGGATCCTCCCGGACCGGAATACGAACCCGTGTCCCCTGCATCGGCAGGCGGACTCTCCACCACTGCGCCACCAGGGAAGCCCCAACTTTGCAATTTTAACTGTTCATGTCAGTGTATATAAACTGTAGATCAAATACAATCTTTGTTCATACGGCTTATTAATGTTTTAAATGTTGAAACTATTTTTTTCTCCTTTTCCCTTTATTCCCTTTCCCTTTCCTTTCCTTTCTTTCTTGTTATTTTGTTTATTTTTAAACAACCAAGACAGCTGTGAAAAAATAAGGTATTAGACAGCACTGACTGTATAACCCATACATATAAGGCATTTCAAAACGATTTCTTCAGTCAGGAACAACATGAAACAAAGTAATAAGTGGGCCATGGTAATAAGTGGGCTATAAAAAGGAGTAAACAACTGTGCAAAAAAGTGTTTGTGTTGGGTATAGAATAGGGTCTAGCTTTTGAAATTTTACGTTCAATCTTTTTTTGTTGATTTTTCATTGACTACAAAACCTTTCCAACTATATATACTTATCTTCCTCCATTTTGTATGCTATTAGGATTTACACTTGCTAATATGAAATTCTTGAATTTTTTTTTAGGAGATACATTGCAAAGTGCAAGGCCTACACACAGAAAAAAGCCAGGAGCCAATTTTTTTTCTATGATGCTGGTGTATAGACAAATTACTTGCAATTCCCAGGATGTGATGTGATAGCATACTTATTTAATATCAGGACTATATGTATTTTAACATGTTATATATCAGATATAGCATTCTGTGTATATAGCAAAGAAAAATATTCTAGCTCAGTGACTTTTCAAAAGAACATTGTCATTTAAATTTCTTAGTATAACTATTTTAATAAATTCATTTCTTTAAATAACTGAAAACCGTGAGTGATAATTCCACATAAAGTTTGAGAAAGGGATGGTTTAATGTGGTATTCCTCGTCATACACTGTGTATTTTGTTGCTTATATCCCTCTATGTCTAAGTGAATGTGTTGATCTTAGAATGAAAAACCACAAGAACAGGATACGTGATTTTACCAAATATCAAGTAACATGCCAGACTCAGAAAACGTTTGCTTATAAGCAAGAATTTAATGGAATTAAATTCTAGTGTGGAACTAAATTTGACCTTTTAGGATTACTTTATCACTCTTTTTTTTTTTTTTTTTTTGCGGTATGCGGGCCTCTCACTGCTGTGGCCTCTCCTGTTGCGGAGCACAGGCTCTGGACGCCCAGGCTCAGCGGCCATGGCTCACGGGCCCAGCCGCTCCACGGCATGTGTGATCTTCCCGGACTGGGGCAAGAACCCGTGTCCCCTGCATTGGCAGGCGGACTCCCAACCACTGCGCCACCAGGGAAGCCCCTATCACTCTTTTAATACAGAAAAGATTTTAGTTTTCTCAGATCTATCATCTCAAAGAATGAGACGACTGAAAAAGTAAAAGATGGAACTTAACAGCAGAAACAAAGAGAAATGAGGAAGTACCTCTTCAACAGGTTATGTTTCTAATAACTTAAAGTACTTTATTGAAATATGGTAATCTAAAAGAACAAATCTCTTGCATTATTATAAATAAATGTCATTTTCTGTGAATGCATTTATATCAAAGACAGAATTGCTGATAAATCACACGGGTAAAAACAAAACAAGTTTAGACTTCCTTGGTGGCGCAGTGGTTAGGAATCCACCTGCCAATGCAGGGGACACGGGTTCAAGCCCTGGTCCAGGAAGATCCCACATGCTGTGGAGCAACTAAGTCCGTGCTCCACTACTGAGCCTACAAGCCACAATGACTGAAGCCCGCATGCCTAAAGCCCGTGCTCCACAACGAGAAGCCACTGCAACGAGAAGCCCATGCACCACAACAAAGAGCAGCCCCCTCTCGCCGCATCTAGAGAAAGCCCCCATGCAGCAACAAAGACTCAACTCAGCCAAAAATTAATTAATTAATTAATTAAAAAAAATTAAATTAAAAAAAAAGTTTAAATCATGTTAAAGTCTTACCTACTGGACGATTACAAAGGTAATGCCGTAGACTGATATTGCCTAACTGATCTGGTGTCACTTGGTCTACTTGAAGACAGATTTCCATATCTTCCCCTCGGATGTCAATTTCTCCATTAACACCAATAATTTTAAACACCACAACTGACATCTAATAAGGGTTGCATAAATAATATTAGTATACCAAATAATTTAAAACAAAATTTAGGAAATAACACAGGAAACTACTATAACCTCTAAAAATACAACTGTGACTTAATAAACCAAAAATATATTTGTGATCAACAGAAAGCAGTTATTGCACTACAGTGATACACTTCCACTTCATTTCTTCCTACTTAGTCAAGAGAATATTTTTAGGTCACAAAGATTAATTATATGACATTTCTGTGTGAAATTATTTTCACTAAATGCTGAACTTATTTTCTAAGTCATCCATAAGAATATTTCACTCGGTGAAGATGGCTTAAAATAAACCAGTAACTTTTCTTTTGTAGACAGCCCCTCATAAGGACTGACCACCATCTTTACTATCAAACTTTCTCAAAGTGTACTTAAATTGAACTAAGATCAAAATATAAAGAACTGAAAAAAGAAACAAAGAACCTTCCTTCCTTAATACAAAAAAAAAAAAAAATTTAGAAAAGTGAAATTCAGAGAAAAATAATTCAGTAAGAGCAAAGGAAAAATTTCAAGAGTAGAAAGAGCAAAGTAAATCACCCACAATCTAAGTCAATTCATTTTACATATTAATGTCTTTAAATGTGTACATATTGAATATGAGATAAAGTTGGTGGCATTTCTCTTCATAGAATGTCTCAAAAGATTACCAGGTCGTCATGATTTTCTTGAGCACCCTCTGAATTTGTACTGATGGCATCTGGAGAGGTTTCACCATAATTCTGTAGGTTTGCACTGGCATTTGCCCGATCTGCTGGGCTCTGGTAATTTGTAGTTGAGTTCTTTTTAATACCTGAAAGAATACAGAAATAAACTACTAAATTAAAATCAGTTTACACATGGTCCAACAATGTTACATTTATCTAACCAAAACAGATTATTTCTTCAACACTTTCTCAAGCACAGCCATGTTTAAAAGACAATAAGCAAAGAAAAATTAGACTGTGGTTAGTTAGCAAATAATAAGAAATAACTTTCCACAATAAAACGTTAGAGATACTAAACCCTAAACTTAGACAGTATGAAAAGAAATCTACCACAGCCGACCACAATCTGTGTTCTTCCCATTGCAGGAGTGGTGCTGGCGTTACTAGCAGGTTCCTGGTCAGCCAGCTTTGCCTCCTCTATTCTACCCAACATTCAGTGGTCCCAGTCTGACCACTTCATTTCCCTTTTCAGTATCCTACGGTTCTTCATCTACATGAAGTTAATACTACTACTGTCAATGTGATTGTTCTCCATCCTTATCGACCTGCCTTAATTTCTCAACATGCTATATTTCAATATTTCTCAAACTGTCTGTGGTAAAAGGCAATTTAAAAAAAAATTTGTGTCCATAACACGTCAATACTTTAAAAAAATACTATAAAAATAATTATTGAAAATGAATCTAGAAAAATCAGAAGAACCAAAGACACAAAACAAAGCCTCAATTTTTTTTCACTTCAATCTTGCATGGATTCTGAGTTTATATTAAAAAAAAAGCTAATAATTCTGAAAATGATTTCAAGGATTAATTCACTGAATGATACAAGCAATCAAGTTACTCTTTCACTAAATCCTTTTGCTTAAGCGATAGTATTTTACAAAGCTTTACTTTGTTGCTGTTGTTGTTAGAAACATCTTTGTTATGTCTTCATAACACTTCAGTGCACGCATTATAGAATGAGTATCACTTCCATTCACTGAAAGAACACTGCTGAATGCAGCTTGCAAGTAGCTGGTTAAAAATTTCTTTCTTTTCAGATGTACATTATAATTTGATATCTGTATACACTACGAAGTGATCACCACCAAAAGTCTAGTTTACCATCCATAACCATACAATTGATCCCCTTCATCCATTCTGACCATTCCCCTACTCCCTTACCCTCTGGTAACCACCAATCTGTTTTCTGTATCTATAAGCTTGTTTTTGTTCTGTTTTCATTTGGGTTTTTTAAAAAATATATCTCACATATGAGTGACATCATATAGTATTTGTCTTTCTTTGTAATAATTTTTTATTATTATATTTACTACTATATAATTAGGTTCTAACCCAGTGCCTGACAAAACGGTAGGTGCTCAATAAATTATTTATTGAATGGATGAATAAAATGATTTTTAGGGCCAGGGAAAATGCATAAATACAATTGTGGTATGAGGAGATAATAAACTCCCATTTCACAGGGAATTCCTAACATTGCCAGAGGTTAAGATTTCACAGATAAAATAATATTTAAGCTAAAGTAAACAGAAAGAAAAAAGAACACTCTAGGCACAGGTACAAAGGCTAAAGAAGTTTGTCATAGTAAAGAGATTGACAGAAAGACAAATATACTATAGTATAATTAAAGTGTAGTAAGCACGTGGGAAAACAGCAGAAAAGGTAAGCTGGGGCCATATCACATGGAGCAACTGTCAGTAATGTTAAGTTTTTTAAACTTAATAGGCTTATAGTTGTTAGAAGTTATCGGGACTAAAATGGAAATTGACATGATAGTATATACATTTTTAAAAGAATATTCTGCCTGTGGAATGAAGTATGAACAAGAAATTGACAAGAAGAGAATTGGGGAGACTAGTTAGAAGCCTGTGGTGGAGTGGTACTCCAGCTACACATTTGTTCATTTATAAATATGCATGTATATTCAAAAATATGTACTCACAATATACCTATGTATGTGTATGTGTATGTGTATATATATGTGTGCATTAGTGTGCATATGTATAAACATACATGTATATAAAAACACAGAGAAAAAGGTCTGGAATTATGTCAATATATACCAAAGTCAATGGTAGTTACTTCCGTAATGGGGAATGGTATCAGGGTAGAGTAAGGGTGGTATTAAAGTGATATTCTAGATATCCCCATGACATCTGATTTTTTTTTTTAAAGAGAAAGTATTCATATATTCCTTGTAAAATTAAAACAAAACAAAAGAGAACTCAGAAAAAACAAGTCTTTTCCCAATGAAAATCAATTCCTTTGACAGAAAATTATTACAGTTCAGGAGAATAATGAATGTAGAGTCACATATCGTCTAAGTGTTACACATAAAATTAATGCCCTTGTATTTTTCAAGATCCTAAAAACAGCCTACTGCTGGAATCTATTCTAAGACAGCTATTAGAAATGAAGACAAAAATTTATGAACAATGATATAATTATAGCATTTTATAGCTGTGAAAAAACTATAAACAATCTAAACATCCAGTATCAGGGAAACAATTAAAAGGTGAGGGTACATTCTTATGACAAGTTAATATAGACAAGTGATAAAAAGCAGGTTGAAAAACCATATATGTGATGTAATACCAAATATACATATATGTGAATACATATATATATATGTATATATATACACATTTATAAGATAAATTATAATAGATATCTCTAGATTGTGGGACTTTTGGGTTATTTTATTTTCCAAACTGTAGTTGTTTATATTTTCCAAGTTCTCCACATTGAGTGGTAGTCACTTTTATTAATTATTTAATTTTCAGAAATAAGAAGAAAATCACTGATGCTTTTTTACGAGTAAGTAGAGATATTTTCTACAGGAACTGTTTTTGAAGCATTATTTGATCACAAAACAGAAATCCTCTATTAAAGTAGAATTTTAAGCCATAAGGGGGCAAGGGAACTAGGCAATAGAGCTATCTGTGTATCTAGAATAGATTTTTTGACCCATACCAGTAACTTGTCTACATTTAACTGGTAAAGTATGCTGGAAACGGGTTTGCTATGAATTGCCTATAAAAGTGTTGGGTTAAGGCTTTTAGTTTACATATAGTAATCATTTCCCAAGTCTGGGGTACTAGCATAGCATACTGGTTGGTTAAAAACTGAGGTTCCTGACTCAGACTAGCTGAGTTCCAAATCTGCCTCTATTACTTCCTGACTGTATATTCATTTCTCTAAGCTTCAGTTTCTAAAGCTATGAGCCTTTCCTTACCTAAGCTGTTTTCAACTACATCAATAGGTTTATTACTCTTCATATACAAAGTAATTCACATTTGCCTCTGGTCTCTTATGCTTTAGGGTCTGTGGCAACTATTCTCTGGCTATGGTTCATGGTTTTATTCCTGTTCACAAAGTCCCCAATGCCTTAGTGATGGGGATGCATCTAATACTAAGTCATTCCTAGTGGTCTGTACTAGGGCATTAGTTGCTTCTGAATAAAATAGGGGAATCATGTAGTTCCATCATACACTATCATGTATGAAAGAGAATTCTGGTTATGGGAATCAACAGATCCAGTCTGGAAAAATTCCAGTCATAGGACCACATAGTTGAGAATTCATCATGCAAATTAAGCCTACCTAATCAAAATTCCAGATATAGGAGTCCCTGTGATAGAGGCTAGTAGAATTAATGTTGTCTGCTTTACGATCTAAATGACTGTATATAAATAATTGCTGGATGTTGTCCATAAAAAGGAAGGAGTATCTGGTCAAAAGAAGCAACGAAACAACCATTAGAAAGTTAGATACAATGCTCTTTGTATTGTGCATTTTTGTGTGTATAAATAAATAAGTCTTTTGGGGCTGTGACTGATTATTGAATATAAATTTAAAAACTTAAATACCACTTCTAAGATTTGTGTATATATAATATGAATTCTTAAACTGTATTGCTTTACCTTTTTCCAAAAATATATGACTATCACTTCCATCACTTTCTAACAAATGTTCTTCCAATATCATGCTGTCAAGTGAAATGGTATCCAGTGAGGTTTGTGAGGGGCTTCTTCTCATGTTCTTGTAAGAAACAGAGAGCGGAGCCATGTTGGGTGGGCAACGTTCCTTAGGCTTTCTACTGTTAACAAACAAAATTATCAGAAAATCATCAAATAAAAGGAAAAGAATTCTTTCTAAAGAATACTTCAAACAAAATAAATATATATTTATACAGTATACACAATTTTTAAAATTATATAAGCTTAAAGTATTTTCATATTTTGAAAACCCTACTCTTCCATGTGTTAACTCTAACAATGCCACATTTATCATGGTTTTCTGTCCAAAGCCAAAATATACTCATAAGTGCATGCACATGTTGCGCACGCACACACACACACACACACGCAAAAATAAAACAAACCCCCCACCCCAAATTCTAACAGTCAGTTGTTACCTTAAAGATGACTGTGATGTAGGTGTTCTGACTGTGGGTGCTTCTTCTTTACTGATTTCCATGTTCTCAGAGAGTGAAACTGTTTCTGGAAGCAAATCTTCAGCTTTAAAGATTGACTCTATGGTTTCATTTCCTTTACTAGTTAAACTATTTGAAAGTATGTTCTGATTACCACCATTATCAAATGACAGGATACTTGAGTCTTCTCTGTAGTTTAAGACACTATTTGAATCTGTATAAGACGAATCCTTTTTGCCACTTGTTTCTGATCCAATTTCTCCTGAGCCACTTTTGCAAACAATTCCACTACTTTCATCTTCGCTTATTTTCCCTAAATTTTTATCTGATAAATAATCCAGAAAAGAAATACCTTTCTGCAGATTTGTATCACTAGCTGATTTAAAAAGCAAAGAATCCTTCAAAGGGACATGGCTAAGGTCAATACTCATAGATCTGTTGTCTGACATATGATTAACAGTTACACTTCTAATTTGTTTTATACCACTATTAACTTGTTTTCTTTTTGAAGACAAAAATTCTCCACTTTCTGTAGGCAAATAATCAGGAACCACTGGACTCACACTTTCAGAAACAGGAGACTTAAGACTATTTGCTTTATCTACCGGATGAAGCAAAAGAGCCACTTCCGCACTTTTAAGTAAAATTCCAATGCAAATGGATGTCTGACTAGCTGGATTGCCAGTCACAGCTTCTACATCTTTCCTTAAATTCTCTGAAAGCAAAATAAGTGACTCATGGAGGAAAAGCAGGAGCAGATACTGGTAGTGATTGATCTGCATACTGACATGTTTATGAATGTGAACCAGGACATGAATATCTGCATCTGATGATGAAGAGGAAAATCTTAAAAATGTATCTGAAGGTTTCTGACTACCATTTGTCAAGGGATCAGACTCTGTACTATAATACTCCTTCAAGAGCTTTTTCCGCTTCCATCGGCCAGTCAGATCACTAGACTCACTTTGTGATGTATTTAGAGATATCTGATTACAAGTCTGCAGCAATTTTTGTGACAATGCATACCTTTTTGGTTGACAAATCCAGATGGAAAGAGGGAAAGAATCTACAAAATTTATTGGTCGTCCTTTTCCACTTTTCATCCCTTCATAATCTATCCAAAATTGAGAAAAGTACACAGCCCAAACATCCGTGGCAGCAGAAGTTTTAAGAGTGTATTTATTCAACTTAGGAGTAACATTTCCTTTATAAACTTCATGCAGTTTGGTATCTTGTTCATGAGCATGTCTCTGGAAGATTGGATGCAGAAGATTAAAATTGTCACCAGATTTGGGGAAACTGGTATATGTTTTACTGAAAAAATCACAATCTTTGAAGTCTTGAAACAAAGCTTCTAAATCAGAATGTCGACAGTTTGAACAGTATCTTGTATTTGTAGCAATCATTTCTGAACTCTGAATAGAAATTGCATGTGGTTGATCTTGATGACATGCAGATTTCATTTCAGAAGGAATGACAAACTAGAAGAGAAAAAACATTAATCTAGTCTGACTTACAAATCCATATATCTTGAAGATAAAATAATCAAGAGCATGACTTGGTTCAGGAATTCTTTTTGACATTTTGCCCCAAAACATTAATTTTCTATCTTGACATAAAATACTCTCCCTCCCAAATCTTATTAAACAAAATGAAAAAGGCTTACATGATTAACAACTAAGAAAAGAACCAAAGGAAAAAGCCCAATAAATAATGAATAAAGTACATAACAAACACATACATATTTGTAGACAATATATCACAAAATAAAAGGAACAAAACTGAATTAAGTCAATTATTAAATGCTGACTATGCCTGAGTATATATATGCCCTGAGTAAATAAGAAAGCACAAAGTTTGGAAAAGATAATTTTTTGTTACGATATTTTAAATCCAAGCAATTTGGAGGATGACTAGATAAGTAAATGGAATGACTGGATAACTGTCATTAGAATCACTTTTCTGGGATAAAACTATTAATAAAAGAAACTTAGGAGTACAGGTCAAACGACTTAGTAAAATTATTTTCTACAGATAATTAAGCCCAGTCCTCAAAATATTCACAACAAAGAGTTCAAACTGACTGGTTTTAAAACTCAAACTGCCCATATTCACAAAATGTAAAGATCAGTATGTAATTGGGTTTTAAATTATAATTATAAATGTTATAAAGTGTGTCTCTTTATATTGAATATTTTAAGGTCTTTGAAATGATCTTTAAAACATTTCTGCAATGCAACCGTTGAGTATTATTAATCTCATTTTACAGAGAAGAAATTAAGGGTATGTAAATTTAGGCTACCAGCAACAGAGCTAGAAACTGAAATATTCATCCATGCCCAAATCTTATTCTATTTACTACACTATACTGTTTTTTTGTTTTTTTTTTTAGCTTCCTTCCTTTAAAGGTTAAATATCCATGGAATTCTGATTATTAACTACTTGGCTATAATGAAACACAACTTTCTATTATCTTTGGATATTAATAACAGAATAAATGTAACAAATAAAACCCAGATATAACTTAAAAGTGTCACTGTATTATTTACCCTTCTTAAAAAAATTTTATCAGCTCCAGCAAGAAGTAGAAAAAAAAGAGATTTTTTTTTTTTTTTTTTTTTG